AAGGGGACGGGGGTCCAGAGAGGCTGCCCCGCCTCGGCGCCCCAGACAAGGAGTTCATCAGATGTGGTTAACTGTTCCCGTGGGATGGTCACCCAGCTCTGCCCAGTGGGCACTGCCACAGTCCAGGTTCTGTTGGAATGACTGTGAGGAGAGATGTGGGGATTGGAGGACTGTGTACATAGGGCTAGGCCCAAGGCATATCAGCTGCTCTGCCAGGGTTCAGATCTCAGCTCTGCTGTTTTAGAGTTGTGTGACCTTGAGCAAGCAACTTAGCTTCTCTGTGCCTATTTCCTCTTCTACAAAACTAGGGCAATAAAAGTGCTGCTGAAAGAGCTGAATAGGGGAGGAGAATCAATGAGATCATCAATGGAACAAATTTAGCACACTGTTGAGTGCACAATACATGTTATGTGAGCATTGGTTATTGTATTTATTGAGTACCTACTATATACACACACATTTACATCTATGCAACTATTCCGTCAGCAACTATATATTGTGCTAGGCCCAGTTGTAGAAGCTAAGAATAGAACTACGACCAGAGCAGGCAAGGACCAGCTCTCTGGAGCTGGTGTTCCAGTGGGGGAGGCAGATGAGAAACATAAATATATAACTGATGGAGGTATCAACTATACAAAGAACAATCGAGCAGGGTAAAGAGTATGCAGTGTGATGCATACTCTTTAGAATGGAGTGAGGAGTGACCGTGCTAGTTCAGCGAGGGTGGTCAGGGAAGATCTCTCAGACGAGGAGACATTGGAATAGAGGCCTGAAGGATGTGAGGATGGAACCACGCAGTACCGGGGGAAGAGCATTTTAGGAAGAGAGACGAGCCAGGACCCCAGGGTCAACTGCTTGTGTTTGAGGAAGAGCGAGGAGGAGGAGGCCCGTGTAACTGGAGTGGAATGAGTGAGGGGGAGAGTGGGAGGAGGTGAGGGCAGGGAGGTGACGGGTTGTAATGGGTCACTGGGAGGACTGGCTTTTCCCCTGGATAAGGCAGGAGCCCTAGAGGGCTGTGAGCTGAGGAACGATGTGCCCCGACTCAGATGTTCACAGGTGCCCTCTGGATGCTGTGGGGGAGAAGACACTGTGAGGTCGTGGGTCAGAACCAGAGCCCAGGATGGAGGTGACTGCACCGTCCAGACCACAGATGGTGGGGGATGGACCAGGGTGGGTCCTGAGGAAGTGCCAGATTCTGGATAACAATGAAGGTGGGGTTGGCAAGGCTTGTTGGTGGATCAGATGTGGATGAGAGAGAGAGTTGCTGAGGAAGTTCCCAAGGATTGGATTTCAAAGGTTCTAAACAAGGCCTTCATAAAACAACAACAACAAAAATACAGGTGTTAGTGAAGATGCTGAGAAATTGGAGCCCTCATACATTGCCAGTGGGAAGGTAAAAGAACGCAGCTGCTGGGGAAGTTTGGCAGTTCCTCAAAAAGTTAAACACAGATTTGCCATAAGACCCAGCAATTCCATTCCTAGGCATCTACCCAAGAGAAATGGAAACGAGGACTCGACACCCTGTACACATATGTTCATAGCAGCCCTAGTCACAATTGCCGAAAGGTGGAAACGACCGAAATGTCCAACAACGGAGAGATAGACAAACAACGGAATATTACTCAACTATAAAGAAGAATGAAGTTCTGATACGTGTTACGACATGGATGAAAATTACGCTCAGAAAGGAGGCAGACACAAAAGGCACATTGTGTATGATTCCGATGATATAAAATGTCTAAAACAGGCAAAGCCATAGAGACAGAAAGCAGGATTGGTGAGTGCCAGGAGCTGGGGGAGGAGGATTGGGGAGTGACTGCTAACAGGGACAGAACTTCCTTGTGGGGTCGTGGAAATGTTTTGGAACTAGATAAAGATGGTGGTTGCACAACATTGTGAACGTGCTGAAGCCATTTTTAAATGGTGAATTTTATGTTATGTGAATTTTGCCTCATTAGAAAAAAGGGGAACTTTTTCTGACTCCCCCACCCTCTACCAATTAAAACTAGGCCCCCCTTCTGGTGATGGTTGCACAGCATTGTGAATGTACTTAATGTCATTGACCTGCACACTTAAAAATGATTGAGAAAAAAACCCAGTAAATTTTATCTGTACTTTACCACCATTAAAATAAAAAAGCCAGTGCGCCACCCTGGTTCCCACCTTTCAATGAACTTTATTATTTCTTATCAGCCAAATTTGGAATTAATTTGAGTTTCCAGGTATGATTCATCGTGAAGGAACACCAGTTGCCCCTTGGACTGTGGGCCCATGAGGGCCAGTCTGTCTGTCTCTTTCGCTGCTGCATTTCCAGCACCAGACTGAAGAATCTTTTCATGTGCTCAGAGTGGTTAAGCTACTTGCCTAAGGCCACACAGCAATAAAAACAGTTCCTAGTTATTAAGCATTTTCTCTTTGCCAAGGGCCCCACTCATTGGATCCTCAGAACCAACACTGGGAGGCAGGTTTTATTTCTTATTACCATTTGATAGAGGAGCAAAGGAGTCTCAGAAAGGGAAAGGAACTGACTGGTCCAGGGTCAGGCAGCAAGGAAGAGGTTAACCTGGAATTATCCAAGGGCTTGAGAGTTGGGGAAGGACTGGGGGCAGGACTCTTGGGTCCTCTCCACCAGCGAAGGCTAGACATGAGCGGCCACCCCTCCAAAGCCTGTTTCCCGAAGCCATCTCATTGTACTCACTACTTCAGGCTCTGGAGATGCAGCGTGGAGGGTGTTCCCAGGTCCCTAAGAGGCTCCCACGAGCAGTTCAAGTCGCCCAAGGGTCCAACTCCATAGCACTGCAGGGGCCCAGGGCTGCCTGGAGAGGGAGGGGGAAGGGTCCCAGGGAAGGGGGTCAATTCCCCCAGCTGCCTGCACCGCCTAGAACCTGAACCTACCCCGACTCTTCACAATCTTGTAGGGAGATCGGGGTCCCTTACGGAAATGAACAGTAGGAAGGGGACGCTGGGCACCCCTACCCAGGCTTTAGGCATAACTCCTCCCCTCCCTCTGTCAGCCACATCCTGTTACCAACCCAAGAGCCCCCACTCCAACCCCCTCCCCGCGGCTCTGGCTTTCATCCTCTGCCGCCCATCTCCCACTCCTTTCTTCGCCCTATTCCTGCCCCCGGAGGAGCAGAATGGCATCCGGACCTCTGTCATTCATTCCGCGAACTTGGGTTCGCTCTGGAGGATTTGTGTTTTAAGCGTGAGCGCGCGCTAGAGCGCCCGACACGAGTTAGCTCCAGAACTTACCCTGAGGACGTGTCCCGTGGAACAGCAGCACCAGGAGAGGCAGCAGCGCCAGCTTGGGCCTTGGCCGGGGCCGGCAGGGGGCAGCCCGGGTCTCCCGCATGGCGCCCCAGCGCCCCCTGTCCGGCCTGGCCCTGCCCCGCCCGGGCGGCCGCGCTGCGCGCCTTGCTCTCGGAATCCAGCACCCTAGCAGCGACGGGAAGCCGAGTCACCCCTCCCAGCCGCCTCCGCACCTAGCGCTTCGGTCCCCGCCCCTTCCCCGCGACGGAAAGTCCCCGGGGGAGGGGGAGTGGGGAGGTGGCCCGGGGCGTACGGGAGAGAGGACTGAGGGCGCTGCCGAGCTCCCCTGAAACCGCGCTCTCCCCACCCTCTCCGACAACACACACATGCAGCAGCAGAGTCCTTTGGAACTTTTATTATTGGGATTAAAGAAGGTTCTGATCCGTCCTCACACCAAGCCTCCCATCCCAGAACATGAAGGGAACCCGGGGATCCTGCTACCGACCCTGGGGTCCACAGCCTTGGAATCTCAGCAGGCGGCGTTGGAGGCAGAGGGGCTGGCTGGAAGGCAGCAGGAAGGGAGTGGGCAAAGGCTGAGCATCACTTAGGCTGGCCAAGGGACAGTGGCCACCTTTCGGGGAGGAGAGAGTCATAGTTTGGGCAAGGGCCTCGGTGTGGCTGATTTGATCAGAGTAGGGGCACCGTTGCGCAGGGGACAGTATAGTCCAGACAAAGGCATGATATTATAGGCTGCGAAGAGGTCAGGGATCAAGACCAGGGATGCCCATTTGGCCAAGTAGGAGTACAGCTTGCTCAGGGTCAAGATAGGCTGGTCAAAGGTCAGGGTTGTTTGAGGTTGTGTCGGAGTCCATAGTGCCTGACTTCAATAATTTACTGACGAATGAATACATGAAGGGCCAGAGACAGGTGCCCAGCATCCCCCTGGTACCCTGACTGCCAGGCCCCAGTCTAGCAAAGGCTGCTGATTTCACTCTTGCTGCAACCCCACTTGCAGCAGTTGCTGGAGAGGCCAGCCAGGACATCGCGGCCACCCCGCAGAGTCCCTGGGGTTCCCTGCCAGCTGGGTTGGTCCCCATAGAAAGCCTGGGGGGACCTGTTCAGGCCTGGCCACTCTCTGGAGGCCACTGCCTCATCCAGCTCGCCGTCTGCATCAGGGTCTGCATCTGGGAAGGCTCCCCCTGCAAAAGATGGAAAAAGAGTTAGTGCTCGGGGCTCAGCTTCTGTCACATCCAGAGTCCTAGCTCCTGGTTGGTCCAGCTACTTTTCCGTTTGTGTGACACAACTTTGTGGTTAAAGATTTTGATTCCACTCAGGCCCAAGTTCCAGCTTTGATGGGCAGATTATTCAATCTCACTGAGCTTGACTTTCCTCTCCTGTCATTTATTTCCCTTTATTCTGTATTTTTGGAGGACCTGATGGTTAAGCGCATGTGTTTAGGAGCCAGACTAAGCACCAACCCAGCTTCTCCCAAGTTAGAATCCTGAGCAAGTGAATTTACTTCTCTGATCCTCGGTTTTCTTGTCTACGAAGTGAGGAAAATAATAATTCCTACCCTCTAGGGTTTTATACAGAGTAGATGAGTTAATTAGTACCCATTAAAAAATACATAGAACTGCGTCTGGCACATGATAAGCACTCAATATAGCATTGAGCATTTATTGAGCATTAACTGTGTGCCACATGCTGTTTTAAGGACTTTTGTGGCTTAACTTCTTTATTCTATGACAACCCCATAAGGCGGGTGCTATTATTATGACCCCATTTTCCAGAGGAGATCACTGAGGCCCGATTCAGTATAGAACACACAGCTATTAAGTTGTAGAGCTGCTATTTGAACCCAGGCAGCATGTCTTCTAGGTCCACATTTATATCATCATCGGATCATTATTACGAACATCTATTTTTCTGCCAGACCCCTGCCCTTTAGGAGCTAGGCCCCCTGTCTTCCACTTGAGCCCACACTGAACCCCCTGCCCTGCTTGGACTGTGTCTCTATCTGTTTTGACTAATTTTTGCCACTGAACAAACCTGTGAGATGCAGGGACTATGCCTTCCATTAGCAGATAAAGAGAATCAGAGAGGAAGGCAACTTGCTGGGAAAGTCACCCACTAGCTGGGCAAATCTGGCCTTGAATACACCACATCTTTCACATTACTTTCCCCCAAGGAGTTGGAAAGCACTTCAGTGTCAGCTTCTGGAATCATGTAAGCAGCCGTGTTGCTCAGCACAGGGCTAGACACATAGCAGGTGCTCCCAAAATAGTAGTCTGTCCTCTGACTTTTAGCCAGTGGAGATGGCTTGCTCCCCCATCCCAGCTTTGTAGCTGAGTCAACTGGCACAGCTTCGAGAATGGGCCAGTCTCCCCAACTGAAAGTTGCAAGGCAGGTACTAACCTGCCATGACCCCTGGTCTTGACTCTGTCCCTGGCTCCTTGGACCCATCCCATGTCCTACCCCTCCAACATCCCCCCCGACACATACCACCATCACTATCTCCCCAGCCTCACCCATCACTTCATGAGCCAAGAGGTCTGACCGTCTCCACCGGGAGCCCCCACAGGTAAAGATGACTGCTCGGATGAATTCCCGGCCACAAAGCTTCACTCCGTAGGGTGCTGCCCGGGCCTCAGCCCCAAGCCACAGCTCCCCAACCAGCACCCACACAGCCAGCAGCAGCAGCAGCGGGTGCTTGGCCATGCTGGACAGAGATGCCTGGAATGCAAGGGTGGGCACAGCGAGGCAGTTTTCTTGGAGTCGGTGCTTCTGCTGCCGGCTGGTCCCCATTTATACGTCCTGCTCCCCCCGCCTGTCATGGAGAAACCAAGTGACCTCCTTTATCTCTTCCAGCAGAGGGGAGGCGGGCATGGCCCCCCCCATGCCAACCTTTCCCATTTCCTGACCAAGCGATAACCTTTCGCCAGGGATAGGATGACGTGGGCCGGCTCACTGTCATCTTCAACAGAGAGAGGCGAGGCCTCCATTTCACAGAGACCAGGAACCCAGGCTCCCACCAGACAGGGAGAGAAGGCGCAGTCAGACCCCACACCCCTCATAGGGCTGGGGTCCTGGGCCTCCTCTATAATTACGACGATGGTAGTGAGCTCTTACACAGTATGGGCTGTGGGCCCAGGAGTCGCTCTAAATATTTTATATTTGTGTAATCTACTTAATCCTCCTGATGACCTAGGATAATGGTTCTCAAATTTGAGCAAGCCTCAGAATCTCCTAGAGGTCTTGTTAAGACTGGATTGCTGGGACCGCCATGCAGATTCTCAGTGAGTGTCTGAGAATCTGCATGTGCAACCAATTTCTAGGACATGCTGATGCTGCTGGTCCAGAAAGCACACTTTTGAGAACCATAATCTTAAGACTAAGATTTTCTCCAGAGTACAGACGAGGAAACAGATCGGTGACATAAGGTACCCAAGGTCAGCTAGTAAATAGAGGTGGGCTGGGAACTGGAACAGAGCCATTCAGCTCTAGAATTCACGGAAAAAATTTTAAGGATTAAAAGAGTACATATGGAGACAGAGTTCCAATTCTGCAAGATGAAAGTGTTCTGGAGATGGACAGTGGTGATAGCCGTACAACCATGTGAATGTGCTTAATGCCACTGAGCTGAGTACATAAAAATGGTTAAACTGGGAAAGTTTATGTTATATGTATTTTCCCACAATTAAAGATAATAATCTAAAATGTTTAATTAATTCCATATACATAGAAGAGATGTGGCATGCTGGGAAATGTTTAATAATGGGCTCTCTTGAAAAAACTGATTTATAGCAGTTGCCTGGTCAATTTCGAGCTACCAGTGTAATGTCAGTGTGATGTCCCCAAGTTCTTGGAAACTTAAAAATCCCATCTCACAAGTCAGTATAACTGGCTCAAGGACACCACTGAAAGATGAAAAACATACACGTGCAATTCAAAGAATCATTTTAAATAGGACGCCTGTGTCATCATCACTCAGATCAGGAAATAGGACAGTGCCAGCAGAGGTCAGTCCCCTGACCCCATATCCTCCCCGGTCATAATCCCTTGCTTCCCCCAGGGGTAACAGCCATCCTGACTTTAGCTGTCATCGTTTCTTTCCTTTTCATTAGTTTTAACATCAACACATACCTCTCCAAAATGGAGAGCGAGTCTGTTTCTTTCCTTTCTTTTTTTGCATTCTAACAAATTGAACTTTTTATCACGCACACAGAAAAGTGTGCAGATCATAAGTGGACACCTGAAAGAATTTTCACAAATGAAACACGTTTCTGTAACCACCACTCAAGCCCAGAAACAGAACATTCTCAGCCTCCACCCAGAGTGGGGCAACGAAGCTCCACGGGAGGAGGAACATGGAAGAACTGGTGGACCTATGTTAAAACTACGAGAAAAACACCAAAAAATGGTAAATACTTTGGCTGAGGTACTTTGAGGCTCTGCAAAGATCTCATTTCCCTTTAAAGTTCTCTCACTGCTTTTACACTCATTGGTGGATGGCGTAGGTAAAAATTATTACTTTGGTGTTTGTTTATTAGTAATTCTCCCATTTATCTCATTCCTTCTACATTTACTTAAATTATTTATTATTTGGAATCTTCCTGTGAGGAAGAGTTGTTCCATCTCCGCCATTTTGTTTTTTTAATCATTTCTTTATACGCACATGGATCCCTGAACCGTTATTTTGGTCTTCAGGTTATAATCCGGTACTATTGTTATTTATGTTGTTGGCCAAGTTGTTCCAGCTTTGGCCACTGGGAGCCTCTGCCGTAAGATTTTTATTTCAGGCACTGTTCTTTTGACATGACTTTCTAGCATCACAAGATGTTCCGGGCTTGTCTTATGTCTTCCCCACCCCAGTCCTAGAATCAGCCATTTTCCCGAGGAGCCTAAGTTCCCTTTATTGGAGAAGGGCTTTGAGAAACCACGGTCTGGGTGCTGGGTGTGTTCATTGCTATTGGGGTCGGAGGTTATTGTTGTTGCTTCTAGGCCCAATCAGTTGATTGCATTACTTTTTTCTTTTAATATTGAGGTATAATTCATATAAAATAAAATTAACAATTTAAAAAGTTGCGTGTACTTTACATGCACACACTTGTTCATAGCAGCACTATTCACAATAGTCAAAAAGCAGAAACAACCCAAATGTCCACCAACAGATGAATGGATAAACAAAAGGTGGGCCATCCATACAGTGGAATATTACTGAACCATAAAAGGGAACGAAGTTCTGACACATGTTACAATGTGGATGAAACTTGGAAACACGATGTTGAATGAAAGAAGCCAGAAAAAATAGGCCACGGGTTGCATGATCCCATTGATATGAAAAGTCCAGAACAGGCAAATCCATAGAGACAGAAAGCAGACTAGTGGTTGCCAGGGGCTGGGGGAGGGAGGAATGGTGAGTAATTGCTACTGGGTATCCCTATGGGGTAATGAAGATGTTTTGAAAATAGAGGTTATGGTTGCACAACATTGTGAAATACTTAATGCCACTGAATCGTTCACTTTAATATGGTTAATTTTATGTTATATGAATTTCAGCTCAATTTGAAAAAACGACAACAGGGCCTCTGGTGATATGCAGGGTCGAGGTCAAATCCTATCTCTGCCTCTTTCCCGCTGTGTGACCTTGAGCAAGTCACTTAACCTCTCTGTGCCTTGGTTTCCTCACTTGTGAAACAGGGAGGATTCGATGACCACGTCAAATTCACAAAACAGTCCATGGCGCCCAGTAAGTGCTGCTTAAATGTTATTTCTACTTGCCACGTTCCCTTTGGATTGGAACTTTATTCCTTTGTCCTTTTCTCCATGACAGACTCCTGGCCTCGGTTGCCCCCTGTGGGTGTCTCAGGCCAAGGGCAGCACTCCAGAAGGCAGGAGTCATATCTGATTGTACTGCTTTGAAAGGGCTGATAAATAATATGCTCTCCCCGCTCGCCTCTTCTCTCAGCAACTCCTTAGGGACGCACCCTTCTTCCCTTTCCTCTGTATTCCTAACACCTGGCCCAGGGGCTGACGAAGAACAAACGTGTCAGACAATTTCTACTGCCTGACTGTCTGACTTTAACTGACCGGCCCAGAACCAGAAGTCTCTTTTGTGCCTCACATAGAATTGGAGTTTTGAGCCCAATACAGCTGGGTTTGAATTCTGGTTCCTGTGTGACCTCAAGCAAGGTGCTGCACCTCTCTGAGTTCATTGGGTAGATGGAGATAATAAGCGAATACACTTCATGGGGCTGTCTGGGGTCTTTGGGGAGATTCTGTAAAGTATTCGACACCCGGCATAGCACAGTAAATGCAGTGGATTGATTGGTGACCTGCAGAAGGATAGGTTCGAGTCATACCCCTGGGACCTGTGAATGCGATCTTATTAGGAAAAAGGGTCTTTGTAGATATAATTAAGGATTTTGAGATGAGGTCATCCTGGATTATCTGGGTGGACCCTAATTTCAATGACAACTGTTGAAGACACAGAAGGGACAAAGCCATGTGAAGACAGAGGCAGAGATTGGAGTCAAGTGGCCAAAAAAGCCAAGTCATGACCGGAGCTGTCAGAAGCTAGAAGAGACAAGGAAGGATCCCCCTCCTAGAGCTCTCGGAGGGAGCACGGCCCTGCTGGCATTTTCGTTTTGGACTTCTGGCTTCCAGAACCGTGAAAGAATAAATTTCCATTTCTGTAAGCTACCCAGCTTGTGGCAAATCTGTTACAGCAGCCGAAGGAAACTAATACATAAGAATTAGGAAATGTCGTATGTTACCCATATTATTATTATTTTATTATCATTGTTATTTGGGCCGGCACAAATATGCACCCAAATCTCACCAATTCCGAATAAGGCCTCTCTCCCCAAACTTCTTAACTAATTTATTTTTGAATAGTTAATACATTCAGGTGTGTCAAGAAACAAAAAGTGTGAGGACATTTACACTGTAGAATCTCCCTCCTCAGTCTCAGTTCCTCTTCTTTTTCCCTCAGGTAATTTTTTGAGTATCTTTCCAGAATTTCTGTGTATATTTACAAACAAATATGAATACAGGTACTTAACCCTCTGCCCCTGCCACACACCTGCTTTTATATTAAAAGTACCATTAAATTTATTTTTGTGGTGGTAAATAGACATAACATAAAATATATCACTTTAGCCATTTATAAGTGCGCTTTTCAGAGGTATTAGCACATTCACATTGTCACGCAACCATCCCACCATCCATCTGAAGAGATTTTTCAACTTCCCAGACTGAAACTGTGTTCCCATATCCTCCCTTCTTTCAGTTGCTGGTAACCACCATTCTTTTTACCTATGGATTTTGCCTAGTCTAGGTACTTTGTGTAAATAGAATTATACAGTCTTTTTCCTTGCATGTCTAGCTTCTTGCACTTTGCATAATGTTTCGGGGTTCACCTGTGTTGTAGCATGAGTCAGAATTGCAATTCAAGATAGCGTGTTTTATACTCTTCTGAACCTTGTCTATTTCTTTTCACTTGATAAATGCTAGAGATTTCAAACTCCCTTTATGCATCTTACCAAACTCCCTTACCAAACTCCCTTTATGCATCTTTGTTATTTTTCTACAGCTGCATAACGATCTGCTGTGTCGATGCCCCATCATTAAATTCACTCCCAAAGACCGATATTTTTCATATTTGTTCTTAGGCTAACATGGCGGTGAAGAACCTTGTACAACTGTCATTTCATACA